GGCCTTCTTTCGATCTAAGCTGGCACATGGCTGCGGCCAAAGGGACGTGAAGCGCCAGAACCTGACAGAGCAGCACGCCTGAAAGGAGCAGGTCTTCTCCTGGCAGCGGAAGAAACACGCAGCGGGGGTCCGATGTGGCTGGGTACCCTGGCACAAAAGGCCCTCTTGAGTAGCCACCCATGGTGGGAGCTCCCTGGGGCACGCTGGGAGATACTCCCACAAGCCTGTCCCTCAACACCAAGAGGTACGAGCCCGGGTGAGAAATGGTGGTGGGGCGGGGGGCCACACGAGCAAATCATTGTATCATTACTCCTGTGTTCAGATTTACCAGGGAATTTCCGAAAGAGGTGGTCAGCAGCTTTCTATGGACACCGGCCCACGTTCTCTGGAGAATGTCAACGTTTTCGGATTAATGGGCACTAAATTTCGTCACAGCCAAAGGACTTAAGCCATGAAACTTGCTGAGAGCTTTTCTGCCATTTCTTTCATTGGGCTCAGAGAAGGTTGAAGCTCATTCCTCACCATCCCCATCATTTATAAACTAACCCAGGTTCAAATCGAGGTGGGAACATTCACACGCCCTGAGTCCTTCAACATCAAAACCTCACACCAGTCACCTCTTCTGAATCACGCCTACCGATTTTGAAGTTATGCCGTTCATTGAAGCGCTCCATCCAGATGCTTATCCTCCAAATTTCGGTGTGGGTTGTTTTCCCCAGAAAACCAACCGGAGGGAAGTAATTCTGAGAACTACAGTTCTTGCTTCGAATACATCGACACAAGCACGTAACATGGAGTCTTATTTTTAATGCTTCTTTAGATGGAAGCATCCTCTGCCTTATTCAAAATTTTCAGTGAGTCAGTGTGTGCCCGAGAGTTGCTCCATTTGGTGAAATTAAGGAAATCCTCAACCCTGGTAGTGAACTTGGCTTGAATGCAAGCAGAGATTATTGATCAGCTCTGGCAACTCTGCGAAGGCTTGGCATTAAAAATTCCCCAAGCGGTACAGTTGCCAAGCCCTGGAACTGCAGCCCATGAAGCTCTGAGCAAAGGTGAGAAGCAATTTTTCACCCAAGAACAAAAAGAGTCCCCCTTCACACTCCAGGCTGGGTCATGGACCCTTCCTCACCTTCAGAATACTGTGTTTATTTTAGAGCGGAGCAGTGTTCGCCATAATTCCCACAACGCATTCAAGCCCATGTGCTCCTGGAATTCACCTCCACTCATGGCAGTTTCCCAGACAGGGGAGCTACTGGGATCCCTGCTTAGCACATGGGAAGACAGGGGCTCGGATCCAGCCACTTACCCATGGCCAGTCCAGCCGGTGTGCAGGAACAGCCAGTCTGCTCCTCCCTTGCACAAGCGGGTCTCGTCACACGTCCATCGGACACGTGGGGGATCCACCTCCCCAAAATTTAACTGCAGAGAGAAGGAGAGCTGCTTGCCAAGGATGGGCCGCGGGCCTCTCTCTGTGCGGCTCCGAAACACCAGAAGCCCTAAATGCCGCTTATCTGCAGCGTTCCCACAGATGCCTGTCCGGGAACAAGTCCCACGGGCCCAGGGGAGCTCACCCTCAGGATCACGGCATGCAGTCAGACGGTAGCTGCTCTGTGCCTCGCCACTCACGAATATTCTTGGCAGAGAGAGCGGGCACCCTTCCACAGTTGCTGGACCCGCCATTCCCAGCGGTGAGGGGGCAATTCTTGCTCACAGCGGATCAGGCGTAAGGGTGTCTCCTGGACACACCACTGCTGATTGCAGTGGGAGACAAAATATTCCTCCAGTCGGGCTCCCTGCGCTTAGAAATCAAGCAAGTTGGGGAGAAGACTAGCTTCGGGCCCTTCCCTATGGCTAGATTCTTATAGGCGGGGAATTATCTCATTATTGTGGATTGCATCCATTGCCGAATCCCGGGCTTGCAGCTTGAAATGGGGCAAGGCCCCAAAACTGGCCGACTACCTAATCTACCCCAGGTGGGCAGTGAGTCTTGGACAGCATCCAAACGTTCAGTTCAGAGGCACAAAACCTTTTCTGTTCAGTCGACCGTCCAGTCCTAAGGCACACTGTGGGTCAGGCGGTGCAGCCCGGCACACGGGGGCTCCAACGCCCCCAGAACATCCGACCCAGAAATAGTCTGCGTTTGGATCAGAGGCAGGAATCGACCGGCTGCAGAGACGCAGCAGCAGCAGCCTGAGAATAACGGCCGCATCTCAACCTGCGCTGCGGAATCTGCGCTTTCAGGAGGCAAACCCCGACACACACGCAGCGTGCACAGCCCCGCCGGACTCGGTGGGCAGGATCAGTCTGCCGTATGAAACAGAGAGACAGAGTGAGTCAGAAGGGGTCTCCCGGGCCATCTAGTCTGACCTCTGGCACCAGCCAGCTCCGCTCATGGCATGCCCACCATGTGCACGTCCAGCCTATCCTTGAACACCCGCACCGACGGGGCCTCAGCGGCTGAGCAACCATCCTAAATGAGCAGAAATTTTGGCCAGGGCGACTTAATTTATACTGTTAAATTATATTGTTTTATATGATGTTATTTATTTATGTTTGTGAGCCGCCCCGAGGCTTCGGCGAATGGGGTGGCATAGAAGGTCCCTAAATAAATAAATAATAATAAATAAAAAAATAAGAAAGAAGAACAAATCATTGCCTAGAACAGCGGAATGGTAAAGCCAGGTTAGCCAACCTTGTCTAGATCGCTTTGGCCAGCAGTTTCTGAGAGCAACTAAAATTACTCCTCATTCCCAAGAGATAATTGAAGTCCTGGCACCTGTGAGATTTGTTGGCCTACAAAACCCATCACCCCCAGCAAGCCAGCAATGGGGCTGATGGGAGTTGTGGTTGAAAGGCACCGGGTTGGGGAGGGTTGCCCCAGCACATGTGGGCACTGCCAGAGCACAAGCAAGAGAACTTCCAGTCCTGTGTAAATTTGAACTACAGTAATTAAACGTGTTGGTTCATTAAAACACTTCCGAGTATCTCTGGCATTGCAGCCTCAAATCCTATTAGCCGACTGCCTTGTAGTATGTTTACACAGAATCAGATGTACAAGAAATATGCTTAACTCTATATTTCCAATACAAATGTCTGCACACGGCGCTCACAGGCACAAGTTTTGGTTTCTGCCTCGGCAGGCAAAGCATTGCAAGATGTTCTTCCCGCGAGACCCGCAGGCCGACAGGCCGGTTGCTTCCCACCCACTGCCTCTCAAATGAAGGCCACGAGAAACAGATTCCCAAGGCAGCCATCAACTACAAAAGGAAAGCCTTTCGCTCAGCGCAACAGAGCTCTACTACGATTATTTCCCGGAGTTTGTCCCCAAAGGTACAAGCAGAAGTTTGCTCAAGAAACACAAAAGATCAATTATGTTCTGGGACCAGAAATGTGCATTGACAACAGCAGGTGCAACCGAATCGAGACACTGCAAAAGAGATAAAGATCTCTGTGTTGCCAGACCTAGTGTTTTAAAAAGAGCTGCCCCCTGTCAAAATGGGTTGACACATCTCAAAGTACATTTCCTTTTCTTTTTGAAAACGGTACATCTATCAGTGTAGGCCAACGTAGCTCAAACGGAAGCAATGCTCAAATTTGCAAATCATTTCGATGAAGCTCATCATCTTTTCATTCCTGAGCCCCCCAAATTTCACTGAAATAGTTAATAGGTCAATTCCCTTTCCATGCATTGATCTCTTTAAAGCAGCTGTGAATGCCGACAGCACAAATGTGGCCAGCAACCATTTTTGGATGGCTCTTTGCAAAAAGAACATGATCAACAGGTCTGACGGAGAGAAAATTAAACCGATAATCCTGAAAGCAGCACGAAGGTACATGAAACAGACTGCGGATTTTTAATTGTTTCGGATGTGTCGAAAATATTTATTCCCGGCCTTCCAGTTATAGTGTCCAAAGCAGCTAACAACCGAACTAGGAAATATGCCACAACATTGCGAAAGCAGAATAGGCTGAGGCCAAAAATAACGACGACGACACAAGCCTCATTCTCGGCGTCAGGAACCCACACAGCAAAGGGATGCTCTGGAAGCTGGGGGGAGGCTCTGCTGGGGGGAGGCTCTGAATGGTGGTGGTGGGGGGGTAGAAACGCCACAAGGACAGACATGTGCATTGCAAATTTTGCAGGCTTCGCTCTGGCCCAGGCGGGTCATCGCGAGCAGCACAATCCTAGAGCTTGGTCCCATGGCTGCCCAGAGAGGCACAAGCTTTCAGGCAAGCTGGCAGGACCTCATTAATTTATTGATCGGAAAATACACACGAGCCTGTGAAAAGCGGCTCGCGAACCATCAGCCCTTCCACTGCATAACCTTGCTCAAATAATCAGATATGAAAAGGGACCGTTTCATACGAAAGCACCGACCTGTGCAGGAATTTGTCCTGTGATCCCTCTCAAGCCCGATGCCCCATCAGGTCATCCGGATTCTGGACTGCCGGCAGCCCGCTCCCTTCCTGGCCACTTTCCATTGCTGACAGGGGACTGCCCTTTATTTTTCCCTGTTTCTTTTACTTTTTCCTAGCAAACATTATCTGTGCAATTGTGCCTAGCATGCGTCCAACTTTAGAACACCCAAACACACATCACCTTTGTGGGCCCCATAGAAGAAAAGGCCGTTTGGCCTGCTGCGATCCAGCAGACAAAAAACAAGAGAGACAGTGTGGTGTAGTGGTTAGCGTGCTGGCTCAGGTGGTGGTCGCCACTCAACCCTGCAGCTCACTGGTGCTCAGCGTAACTCACCTCACAGGCTTACTACAAGGATAAAATGGAGAGGAAGCTGTGGGTTGTGGAGCTGCCCTGAGTTCCTTGCAAGATGGGAAAAGGCCAGAAGGAAATGCAGTAATAAGGGATGGATGGCTGGCTGGCTGGCTGGAAGGGAGGGTGGGTGGGTGCAGAGGTCACAGAGGAGCACGTGCAAACCGAGGAGAAACTGCTAAGCAGGGCTGGCTACGGCCTGCACGAGAGCCGGGCGCTTCGAGGAGCCTACCTGTGCTGCTCCACCGTCTCGCTGTCCGGCAGCTCTGCCCCACACACGCTGCACGGCTCTCCAACAGTTCGGGCCTCGTTTTTTATACCCACGGCAAGCTCCCCGAGCTTGCCGAACAGCTCTCTCTGGATGAAGCCTTGCGGAAGGAGGGCCCCGTAGGCACTGAAGTCCATGGACACGGCGAGAGCGGGCTGCACGTGGAGCGCAGGGGCCATGGAGGAGGGGAGTCCAAGCATGGAGTCGTTTTTGTGGTTGGGCAGCGCCGAGTAGATGCCCATGGCCTTCTCCCCATGGGAGGCCAGCAGCTCCGGCCCCACCGGCGGGCCCTGGACGGCCTCGCAGGGCTGCTCGGCGCTCTCGTCCCGGGGGTAGTGCAGCTCGCGGGCACTCGTGATGACGCTGCCCCGGGTCGGGGTGCCGGGCCCTTGCTTGCCCTTGTCCTCGCTCCGGTCGCCGCCGGAAGTGCTCAGGTCGGCCGCCCTTGGGCTCTCGTGGCTGCAGGCCTCGTCCACTTGCATCGCCTCCGTCTTCACTTCGGCCATGCTCAGGGGGCGGGCGCCGGCGGAGTGCAAGTCCTCGGGGGCCGTGTGCTGCAGGGCGCCCTGCAGCAGCGACTGCCCGATGGTCATCAGGCTGTCCACAGCGGCCTTGGTGGGGCTCATGGCCGAGAGGCCGAAGGAGGTGGAGACAGAGGGGCTCTGCTCCAGGACTGGCCCCGCCAGGCCCTGGCTGGGGAGGCCGGGGAAGGCGCTGTGCTCACTGGAATGCTTGGAGAGGAGCACATTCTTCACGTATCTGGACTTCCGGTCCTCGTCCTCGTCGGCACCACCGTCGGCCATGCTGGCTTCACCCTCGTTGTCCTCCGAGGCCTGGATGGTCTCCAGGATCTTCAGGCATTGCTCCTCCAGGTACTCGATCTCGAGAATCTCCGCAGCGTAGAGAAGGTCATCCAGATCTTCCACCCTGGCTTGCAAGGCAGTGGTGTAGGCATACTCCAGGATCTGCTGGAAGGTCTTTGGCGAGAGGAAGTCCAAGGTGTACCGCTGGCTGTTACGATGGAACAAGATCTCAAACATCTTGCTAGTGCAAGCCAGGACGGTCCGGTGGGCGTGGAACTCCTGGCTGTCCACCAGGATCACCACGTCACACAGGGTCCCCGCCAGGCGCATCTGGTTGGCCTTCTGCAGGAGCCCCGTGGCATGGCTCGGGTTCCGCAGCTGTATCATCCCCATCTCAGTCACATCCATAACGCTCCCTCCCAGGGCGCAGGCATGAGGGAGGCGAGGCGACCGGTCGCACTCTCTGGGGCTGCCCTCTCCGCGGGTCCGATGCCTGTCCGGAGGAGAAACGGGGAGGGGAGGAGGGGTGGAGAGAAAGATCTTTTAGTGGCGGACTCGCCCAGCATCGTGAGAACGGGCCGGGGAGGGGGCAGGAAGCCAAGCGGGCACCTCCACGCGGAGGGGCGCGGGAGTCGATGGCGCGGCTGTGCGGGAGGCGAGGGTGCGCGTGGGCGAGCGGCTGGACTGGCAGGGCAGGCGCAGGACGGGACTGGGGCTCGGCTCTCGCTCCGCTCTGCTTTGTCTCCCTTCCAACAAGCCACCCTTTGACAGAGGGACAATGGGAGCCGCGGGGAGGGGGCGAACGGGGGAGGGGCGCGCGCGCCGACCTGCGCGCAAACAAACTTGCTGCTCCCACCTCGCCGGAGCCTTTCCCCGGCAGCTCCCCACCCGCTCCTAGAAAAGAGGGTGCGGGGAGCGCGCCTCCGTCCCAGCCCTTCTCGGCGGCCTGAGCCGCTCGCCCTGTCACTGCGGCTGCAACGCACACGCACACACGCGCGCAGGCTCTGCCAGGAGTGCAGCTGGCGACGCTCCGCGCCTGTCCGGGAGCTGCCTGCCCTTTGTCTCGGGCAAAAGTTCCATGCGGCCGCGAGGGAGCGCGCGGAGGGCGCCCAGGCACCCGGGAGCCCGGGCCGCCTCCCCCCACGCTCCCGGCCGGCCGGCCGGCGCCTGGGGGGAGGCGCAGGCACCAACCCGTGCTGGCAGCGACCGCCTTGCAAGCGGATCGGCTCCGCGCCATCCTAGTTACGGCAACTTGGCTGATGCGAACATCCACACCGTGGAGTCTCTGACGCACACCCCTTCAGTAGCAAAACCCACTTGCTGCTGTGGGTTCACTCCCTTATTCCCCCCCCCCCCCGTTATCAGCACTCACGCCCAACTTTCCAGGCTGGGTGCCGCGGCTGCTGCGCTGGGGGGAGTCCGCGCAGCCCCGCTGGCTGCGCGGCGCTCTTGGCGGCCTCCGGAGCGGGCAGCTTCACCCGGTCTCTCGTTGACAGCTCACGCAAGTGCCCGCCGCGCTTCCCGCCCTCCCCCGCGCGATTCGGGAGGCAAGCGACCCTCCACGCACACGCGCGCCGCTCGCCCAGCTCCGGCACGGTCCCTCGCCGCGGAGAGGGGCAGGAGGAGCGCGGGCGGGCGGAGGGCGAGCGCTCTCCCCCCAGCCCAAGGACACAAAGGCCACGGGGAGCGTCTGTCCCCGACGGACGGCGGCGCATCCCCCCACCCCGGGCCTGCTCTCCGACGGTTTCCGCCGGCCGGCCCAGAGTAGGGCGAGCGTTGAAATCCGCAGCACGTCTGAACGGATCGCTGCAGCTTGGAGCGCCCGAGCAGCGCGCTCGTTCCATCCGTGTCCAAATGAGCAGGCGGCGGGGGGGGGGCGGGGGCTGTGCTGGGGGGTGCGTTCCTGCTTTTGGGGATGGGGGCCCGAGATGCCCGCGTGGGCCAGCGGCGCAAGTGAACCCCGGAGAGAGCGAGCGGGAGGGCGCAATCCACGAGCACCCCGCCGCCCCGAGAGCGCGGGGCCGCGGCAGGGCCGCACTCACACGCACCCGCGAGGGAGGCCGCCGCCACCGCCTGGCTCCGCGCTCCGCGAAAGTGTCCGGCTCAATAGCAGCGCGAAGCCACGAAACCCGCCTCCGTGCCCGGGCATTCACGCCACGAAGTGCGCCTGAGGAGAGCGGCGCCCAGCACTGGGGCGGGGAGGGGGCGCGTGGGGGCGGCGGGGGGGATCAGCGGGTGCCCGTCTCACGCAACCCCCCGAAAAACGGCCGGGAAATTTCGGCGCTCCCGCCGCCGTTTGTTTCCGTTCCTCCGCTCCGTCTCTCCCTTCGCATCGATCGCGGCGCAGCGGCCCCCAATACGCGCACGCACTCGCGCGCGCGCCCAAACCGCGATTCTCACGACCACGCCACGGCCGCTGACCTCGCCTTCTGCCCGCTCGCAAAGCGGGTCGCCTGGAAGGAGCGCTCTCCGCCTCGCGAATCGCCCCGCGAACGCATCTGACCTGCCCCCGCCCGCTCCCACAAAACCGATTTCCTTCGGAGAGCGCCCCCCCCCC